TATTTCTGACAGTCTGAGTCTAAATAGAATCGAATCAAAGATCCTGTGATTTGGTTAAATTTCACTTGTAATGCTGATTTTATATTGACAACTACTGACTCTTCATATGACATCTAAATGGCATGACACTCTGCTGATCGCTGGCTCAAACTTTACCTGTGTTGGCAGTGTTGCCGGCAATGAAGCTGATGACCAGTGGTAGCCGATTGAACTGCACAATCTGTTCAATCCAGAAACATTACATGTTATATAAAAAAAAAGTTAAATAAACTAGATATACTTTACCAAACCTGAGTTGGTCAATCCATACTCATCCTGACCTTAGAACAAACTGAAATAATGACATTAAACTTGGGTAGAGGTCAGGGCTTGAAATTCATATCTAAAATTTTATCCCCTCCACTTCTCATATGCAGAAGAGCTGAAGACCATCATCAAAACAACCTGACCTTATGCTTATATGCCACACTGATGCAGTAATTTGGGGCAAAGGACCCTAAAACAGGTACTGTGTGTATAAATGAATATGCTGTTTGCTTTCATTATAGCAATAACTTAACATAATAATTTAACAATAGTGAAAAATAAAGGCTTGAAATATTTCACTTTCTGTGTAACAAATATAGAATATATGACATTTTTGGAGCTAGACTATGGTATGACAAATATACCAAACTACTGATTGGTGGAAAGAAGGGGTCTGACCTGGTAGGCGTTATAATAGCAGATGATGCTCTTGTTCTTAGAAAGGCCCAGTTTGCTGCCCTGATCAGTGGCCAGAGCAAACGTAGACAGGAAGCCCGGTCTCAAAGCATGAACTGGGGCATTGTCGTTGGCAACTGCAAGGATACAGCAACGATGTCAGGGATGTAGGGATAAAACACTCTCCACATAAGGAATGTCTGCTGACATTTGTTTCAAATTAGGGCTGCCACAAACGATTATTTTGATAGTCGACTATTCGGCGATTATTTTTGCGATTAGTCGACTAATCAGATCATCATCCATTCAACGTAAAACTACAGCTTATTGCACCAGCAGCATCTGCTCTTATATAACTATCATTAGCTTACAGCTTTAAGTGTTTAAGGTATGCGCTAACTAAAAATAAAGACAAGATGATAGTTTATTAAATTTTAATAAAATTTGCAGATTGTTTCAGTTGAGTTTAATAAACTCAGCCATCTGCCAAACCAATTTACTCAGGAACAAATAAAATACTAAAATAAGCCAAACAATAACATTTGTAAGTTATCTAAGTGACTCATATTACATGTTTAACCTGAGTAGTGAAAGACGGCGGTGGGTTTGAAAACGATTTGCCGGGAGTCCGGTGTTCTCACGGCGCTAGTGACCTAGCCCCCGGCTCGCTATCGAGCCAGTGGGTAACAGACGTCTCCGAAAACGTCGGAGCGCTTTTGAAAATATGCGGTGTCCTGATAAACTGAGCAGATATTTGAGGTTTACACAGCTACATTCTCGCCTGAAAATATGTTAAACGTTTATTTTGTGACCCAGAAAGAATAATAAGAGTAATATTAAAACTAGCTAGCTGCCGCCATTGTTGGAAACTGAGCAGGGCCGCGCTATGAATTCTGGGACACAGCTTCTTCTTCTTCTTCGGGGTTTAACGGCAGCTGGCATCCTTGTACATGCAGTGCTGCCATCTTCTGTTTCAGTCCGTTATTACACTCTTAAATCCTGCTATTATTCCTGCGTCTTTTGGGATCTTACAAAGCTTCAAACGACGCGTCGACTATTAAATCAGTCGTCGACGATTTTGATAGTCGACGTAATCGTGACTAGTCGACGTAATCGTGGCAGCCCTATTTCAAATACTGCCCAAACCTGCATAATTCAGTATATTTATGATGCAACTTATTTGCTTTTTTCCCCACTAAAGAGCAACTGGTTACATTTTTCTCTAAATTAATATATAACATTTCTTGGAAATTCAAATTTGAAAAGATTTGAAACATTAATATATTTAGTAAAATACAAAAATCCTTTTTTTTTTTTTTAAAGAAAAAACATCTTATGCCAAACAAACTAAGTCAAGTGTGCTCTCTGCTCTGATGTTCTGTGCAATAGTATGTGAGTCTGAGCGATTCACAGACTAACTGATAGCTCGTGGACTTCCCGCCTGGCTGACTTCCACCTTCAGGAGCAGCTACTCCTATCAGGGCCAATGTGGAAACTGGTTTTAGGCTCTATTCAAACACACTTTAATTCTACTACCAAGTTTCTCTTCTGTTACTTTTGCTCTCATGGATTTTACAGTTTTCCACATGACAGCAGTGAGACCAGCAATAACCAGCCATTCAGAATGTTTCTTACCTTTAATAACCGGGACACCATCCCTATCAGTGACCACAATAGCATGAAGACCTTCAATGCTGAAGGAGACAAACAACAAAACTTCCTCATTAAACACTGAACATCCTGATAGTGTCGACTGTAACATTGAAGATTTTGTTACTTTAATGATACACACCTTTGCAACTGTTTGTAAAGATATCTCTTCAAATCCTGCAAAATAAAAAAAAAGGTTAGATAGTTGGTCAGAGCTAACAAACCATACTTCATCGTCCAGTAGAGGGAGCACGTTTGCTGTCCGCTCCACTCCAGGGACGGCCCAGCTGGCTGCAGTGAGCTCTGTTGTCAGATGGAGGCAGCGTACAACAAGTATGTGTTACAGCTAGTCTGTGTGACAGTGCTATTACAGTCGACACATCGCTGGTGTCGCACTGTGATTTTGATGTCAGCTGTGACACAATTTTTGCGGGGCATCAGCTGATTATGACCTTTCAATATTTGTATCTTGGCGCTGAGGCCACTGCAGAGACACACAGATATACAGAGGGAGATTGAAAACTTGAGTCTGTGGGGAAAAAAAGCACACTTGACAAAGTCTTGACCACCTTACCTGGTGATACTGTCTGGGCGGCGACGCCTATCGTCTAGAATACTGCAGTGGCTTCCTGCTAGGGCTGCACGATTTTGCATAAAATGAGAATCACGATTTTTTGGCTTAGAATTGAGATCACGATTCTCTCACGATTTTCTTTTCCAGTATAAATATTTATTGCACTTATTAACTGCACATCAACTGCGTAACAGTTGAGACTGAACATAAAAACAATTCCGTCTCCACCGTTGCTCGACGCTGCGTGTACAGAGCAGGTAGTGCAACAATAGAAAAATAGTTGCGGGACGGCACTGTGCAGCGTTTGTCTAGGGTGTTGATCATTTTCCTAAATCCCTCGTTTTGCACAGTGTTGATGGAGCCATATCTTTGGTCAGGTGATAAGTGATAGCCTCCGTAATTTCTTTGTGCCTGCGGGAGTTCGACGGGTATAGGGAAGCACCTATTTGCAAAAGTGCTCTGACATTTTTCCAAATGTCATTTTTGCTCTGACATTTTCGTCTGTCATTTCATTTTCGTCCTCACCAGCTGTAGTCAAGGTTCACTACAGCTGGTGAGGACGCACATCATTTCCAAAGCTTATTACAGTGTTTTATTTGTTCCTGAGCAAATCGGTTTGGCCGAGAATATAAGTTAATCTTCATAACTGGGTCGTTTTATTTCAAAGTCTTACTTGGAGAGCTGTCAGTATACTGAACTGAATATTTCACCAGTCCTTATCCCTGGATGTGAAAATGTGCCGTTTTTATTTTAACAGCTGACTCTGAATTAAATCTAACATTATAAATATTTTAATCCCACTGGGAGCAGAAACAGCATGTTGATACGTGAAGATCCTGAAGACTGCACCAGTGATGATCAAATTATGTTTTTTTTTTTTATACATTTTTTCAATTCTCTTCCAAACACTAGCTGTCTATTTTAACTTTTGAGTGTCTACTAAAATAAAAATAAAAGCATTCTGACATCGGACACGTTTGTTTCTGTTCAATAAGCAGCCTGAGCTGTGCATACATGTATAATATTTTGAAATAAAATTTGCGTTTTCTTCCTGGTCTAGCTTCCTCCCGGGTCTCGCGAAATCCAGACTTGCATGTGAACTTGCGAAGTACGGACTTGCATATTTCAGCACTGCGAAACTGCCTTGTATTAATACCCGCTGTTATGGCAGCACTGCATATTCTCCTGAACGATAGGCGTCGCCGCTCAGACAATCGCCACATAAGCGCTGATACAGGAAGAGAAGAGGTCAAAACCGGAAGCCGGAAGAGTTCTTCTTGTTTTTTTTAAAAAAACTCTTCCAACATCGCTCTTTCTCTGTATATCTGCACGTCTCCGAGTTTCTGTGCTCGAACGTCAATTAAACAACAAACAATCGTACACTTATGCTTTCCACCCAGCTCCGGAGGCAGCGCAACAAACCGAAATACACTCCGCAGTGGTCGCCTCGACATCATGATAAGGGCACATGAAGCCGCTTCATTAATCTCCGACACCCCCAAGAATAAAGAGATCAAAATAAAATAAATAAGTGCTTACTTTTGAGAGCGCTTTTAAATCTCGAACACTACTTCACGTGTCCCTTTTTTAATAGGAATTATCAGCAATACGTTTTTTCCTGCTTCTCCATTTTGGAGACGGGAACTCAAGAAGAATGACAGACGCCTCATACTTACATCGGCCATGGCAGCTATCGAGGTATCGAGACCGCTCGACGGCTGCAGGGAGATGACTGTAATGATAGTTGTTCACACAGAGGACTCAGTACGTCGTCGGAACTTCACATTCTTTTATGTCAAATAAAGCACACAGCGGTTTCCCAGATAATATAAATGCGCGAGTTAACATCTCCTCATTAAACTAAAAACAAATAATAAAAATAACTAGACAGGCAAATTGGAAATACACATTAAAATCTCAAACGAAATGACAAACCTTTGAACGACTTTAAAACAAAAACATAACCCTCGAGATCTGGAAAGGCAGATTAAAAAAACATAATCACATGATTACTTCTTCTTCTTGAATTTTGGTGGCTGGCAAACCACAAAGTGGTGCATTAGCGCCACCAACTGGTATAGACATGAAAGGTGCTCAAAAATCACTTTCTTCTCTTTTTGTAGTACATTGATCACCTTTCACTTTACTGAGCTTGGATCGGTTGCCTTTTGCCTATTCTCTATTGGTGTTTTTTGTATATGATGTAAACTGCACATTACTCATAACAGAAAAACACCAGCAGATGGATATGTATTCATTATATGAATACATTATTCTGTTTTTATTATTCTGCCATGTACAGTGTCCTTGAGTGTTCTGAAAGGCGCTTTCAAATAAAATGGATTATTATTATGTCTTCCCTCCATCGTTCATTTCATGCTCCACCCACAGCTAACACCGCACCCAAAACTACGACTGCTACGACGTCTGACCCGATTGGGGGTGAACTGTCACTCTCCAGTAAGACGGAGGAGGAAAGAGACGGCGATCTGAGACCTGCCACTCCTCCTGTGCATCTACAGGAACCAGGGCCCAATCAAGTGGCACCGAGAAACCAGAGGGTGAGGAGAATCCCTACAGCACTTCATGGGGCTTCTTCTGAGGGGAAATCTTCTCCCGCCATTCAGCTACAACAGAACATGGAGGCGATGGACCTCATACAGGGGGAATCCACCCCCAAGAAGACCAACACAGCTTCAGTTGGACAACAGGTATGCACCCCGACGAGACATCCAAGCACAAAGAAAAAGCTCAGAGAGTGGAGACTGCACACAAAGGAAGCATCGGTGATCATTGGAGACACCAATGTGGGCTTGATTCCTCCTTATGTTGCGGAGGGAGTCCAAATTGACAGCTTCCCAGGAGCCAAATGGGGCCATGCAGAGATCCTTGTGGATAAAGCAGACAGTGACACATCGGTGGAGAAGCTGGTTCTCTCCTTCGGCCTGAATAACAGGTGTCAGAGGGATAAAAATGTACCAACAAGGGAGCTGAGAAGAACACTGAGGTCGGCACAAGAAAAATTCCCCCAAGCTGACATTTATATTCCAGTGATTAACTTTTCTTCTGCCCTTCCCAAAACAGAATAAGACACATTATTACACATAAACAATTTTATTGCAGGTTTAAAGGAGCACACACCTGCTCTACCTGCTGATAAGTTCAGCACAGAATCGGACAATCTTCGCTGGACGGACAAGACTGCAGAGCACATGTTGGATCATTGGAATGATCATGTTAATGGAGCATCTCCATGAAACCAATTTGAGTGACTGATTTTATGTACTTCTGTGCTTGAGGGAGGCTTCAGATGCCATTTTGTGAGAGTTTAACCCCAATACAACCCACTAGAGGGTGCTGTAACTCCATTTAAGGGAATTTCCCCCTCCTCTTTACTTTTCTCCTTGTATCTGATTTATGTTACAGCAGCTCATGACTGAATGAACATGGTGCAATAAAAGTACTTTTGGACTTTACTTCACTTTAATTTACTTCAGTAGGATTAGGGGTTGTCACCTCGGCATGCAGTGGAGTGCTATAGAGTCTATAGAGTCATTTTATTCACATGGAAAAGTTTCAGGACACCGGCCCCCGAGGACTGGAGTTTGACACCTCTGATCAAATACTGATCTGATTGACCCAGTGTATATGAATTTCTATCAATGCCCATTCACTTCCAACTAAACACCTCGTTACATTTTATACTTTCTTGTATTCTTCTTGCACACATTGCTCCGTTGTTTGCAAAACATGAAAACCTCCATCCCACGTCAATGAACTGCAGGTGATTATCATCCCAGAGAGGGAAGTCTTATTATTTGTTTCTTAGATGGGAGAATATAGGATGGTACACTGGTAAGTAAACAATGAATAGTTACATTTGTCCTGTGAGCAAACACTGAGTGACAGTGGGAAGGAAAAACTCCCTTTTAACAATAAGAAACCTCAGGCTCAGGGAGGGGCGGCCATTCGCTACAACCAGTTTGGGGTGAAGGGAAAAAGGGAAAGAAGAGAGACAGAATCAAAGGCAAACCATGTAAGAGAGAAACAATTACTAATGATTAAATGCACTAGAGGTGTATAAACACAAAGAGATTGAAAAGAGATGAATAAAAAAGAAATGCTCAGTGCATCAATGGCAGCTCCCCAGTAGCCTAAGCCTTCTGCAGCATAACCAAGGGGTGGTTCAGGGTCACGTGATCCAGCTGATACACTTTATCACAAATGGGAATCTTAAGCCTAATCTTATAAGTAGAGAGAGCATCTGTCTCCCGAATTGAAGCTGGGTGTCACGGCTGGGGCTGCAGTGATGTGGTGATGTGAAGGAGGACTCAAGTTGCAGACAGCGGCGGTGATGCGAGTGAGTTTATTTACAGTGCACAGTAAATAACAAAGGCGAGGGCAAAACTAAACCTAAACTGGGGAAAACTAATGATAAACAAAACCTGAAACCATAACTCACAAAGTCACATGCAGGGGAAAACATAAGGAGGTTACGCGGGGGATGAAGAGCTGGGGATGGCGAGCAGATTGTGGAGCAGAGAGACACAGAGCTGACCAAACAACACAGACGAACCAACGACGAGCAGAGGCAAACACACCCTATAAATACACACCAGGTAATGAGGAAATGGCACGCAGGGGTGGACACAGCTGAAACTAATGGACATAAGGAGACACAGACCTTCAAAGTAAAAAAGGAAACTCACAGACTGTTTTACAAACACAAACTCAGAGACACAAACGGAACACCGGGAGAGGACACAGGTAGGGATAACAGTAACACAAAACACAAAACACAAGACCCAGACCCAAAGAACTAATACAAAATCAGAAGAAACTAGAAAATAATAACAATGAACTCAAAATGCTGGGTCACTGACCCAGGACCATGACACTCGGACCTAAAAGTAGCGCCTCAAAGCTAAAGGCTAAAGGCCACTGCTGTCTGCAGCTATGGATTTAGCTTGTTGGACTGCAGATTCCATTTGTGTTGCCAGTGTAACAGCTTTATCTAGTGTCAAATCAGGTTCCAGCAAGAGGCTTTCTCTTATGCTGGGGCTAGACACATGTTCAACTAGCTGATCACGGATCATTTCTTCTGTCCTGTCATCAAACTCACATTTAGAAGGAAGGTCACGCAAGCTGGCCACATACTGGATAACAGTCTCATGTGAAGCTTGTGTTCCCTTTCTGAAAGCGTGTCTTTCCACAACAACATTTACCTTGGGTGAAAAGTGTTGTTCTAGGGCAGTAACAGCAGAGGCAAAAGTATCACCTGTATTTGGCAGTGAGTAGAAAATCCTTTGTCCCTCTGTTCCCAAGCAGTGAAGTAAAGTAGCTCTTCTTCGTGCTTCAGGCCAAGCATTCCCTGTTGCATTGATCACAAGCAAATAATTGTTGAACATA